ATAATACCGCATCCGAAATCTTAGACTATAACATAATAGAGGTACGATCAAAATATTTTAGTAAATATGGAATTGATAATCGGAAAAATTTGAGGTATAAGGATAAATCAATATAAACCATATCGAAAGGCTAAATTGTACATGTAACGACCTATAGTGAGAAGTGGTTTTGGTTTCAAATGACCGTAGAAGAGTAAGCCGTGTGTGTGCAGTTGTAACACTCCCAATATTTAGAGTTAAAACATAATACCGTAAACGGTGAGATATAGTAGGAATCTTAGACTATACAGCCAGGTATATACTCGCTTGTTTCGATAACTACAAATATGGGGGACAGATATTTGAGATGGGAAGGTTTCATTGCATCATTTAACTTTGCCAAATATGACTGGGCCCACAGCTTGAATCGGCAAAAGCGATCCATACAATGAGAAAGATTGAGCAATGATCGCGAATTATAAAGGCATGATCGAAATATCGAAATGCGAAACGGTACATGTAAAGACCTCGTTGAACAATGAATAAGTATTTCTCCATAAACACTACTTTGATGAACCTTCCCTCTGTTAAGCCCGAAGTTAGCTAAACGGCTAATGATAGCTACCAAAACACCTGCCATTTGAAATAGATATTTAATCAATAGATGTAAGCCTTACAACTTCTATGCCTTTTGGTCGAAGTTTACTCCGTGTTTCAGAGGTCCTGAGGGTTGGCTACCTCAAAACCTTAATTACTGTTAAAATTAAATCTCTTTTAAATATTAAAAGACGAGTTCGTCTCGATTACATCAGCTGTTAAACTAAAAAACTTATGAACCTAGAAAGCTGTAGAAGACCTGACAAAAAATGGTAGATGTTTAAATAACCGTTAAAAGTTTCATGCTATAAAAATAAAAATTATTTGCAGGACGAGAAATGAGAAAACAATCCGCGTTTTAAAATTTTAATAGATTAAATGATACAAAGAGAGTGGGGTTCATAAAATGGGAGTACTTAAAATGTGAAACAGAAATAGTTCAAGTGTTGCTTCCAAGTCCCATCTCGGCATCTTGTAGCGGATTGCCACGTTAGTAATGCCTGACTAACTCAGAAATCTCTGTGGCACATTCTCCTACATCTAGCTAGACTCCCAGAACCAGCTAAGCTATACCCCAGCTATGAAAAGAAACAGACGTGTAGCACGAAATGCGTTTATTCGGTACGTATATTGCATATAAAGGAAACAGATGTTTAGCACGGAGCACGTTTATTCTACAGAGGATACAGACGTGTAGCACGGAACATTTATTCAGTAGGAAAAGAAACAGACGTGTTGAATGGACCACGTTTATTCAGTAAGTATATTGTGGATAACGTGTACGCGCGGGAGGCTAAATCATGACCAGGTTGGGGGATTAGGTTAAATAAACGGAAGCTACTGATTGGTCACTGCACACAGAGTTGTACGGCCGCACCTCCCAATCCTGGCGTGCAGGCATGCGTTGACGCACAAAGCGATAACGCAACCCACAATCTTAAATGGAAACATTTTCAGGCAAAATTTGCTCTCCAGTAATTGGATCTATAATGGGAAGTGGACGGTGAGTCCGTAGAAAATCGTAGTTAATTTCCTCGTTTGAAGTGTCCACAACATTTTCCGCAGGACATTGAGACACATTAGACACACCTGGCGGAAAATTAGAAGGGTCATTAGAAGAAGAAATATTGTCGGAATTGGCAGTTGGACATGAATCTTCAGGACAACCAACGAAATTTGCGTCAGTTATTTCAGTCGAGCTTACGCCATCATCAGCTTTAGGGGCATTTTTTATTTCGCGTTCTGGTAAGGGAATGGTTAACCTGTAGCCAATTGGACTTGAAGAACTGTCCACGGCAAATTCGACGTTCTCAATCAAACAAGCGTAGGCCATCAGATCATCCACCTGAGTCTTCACCATTTTCAACCGATTGAACTCAATTAGTTTCTCAAATGGACATACACCTTCATTCGCGTCAAACAGATCTCTAAGGTAACTATCCTCTAATAGGTTCGACTTTGAGAAGTAATATCTCCTAAAAAGGAATTGAGAGGATGTGAGTGAAGGTGATAGAGTTGTAAAGCAAAGAATTCTAATAAAAGAGAAAGGAATGTGGACTCACACATGGTGTCTGATGTAAGCTGCTCTATTAGAGAACCACAAAAAAGGCATATTCGTTCCTCTCTCCAAACAGAGGTAGATTTCGTCGCCAATGTAAACAATTCTATCAAGAGGTGCGTTGACCACTTCATCATGAGTAGAAGTTGGCAAAACGCAAGGAGCTATGGCACTCCTCACTGCCTTGTCTTCTTTAAACCATTTTGGCGCGCGCACCTTGTCCGGGTTTTCCTTAATCTTTTCCGCCAATTCACTCAATGGCACACGCATGGATTCGTATCTGAGTTCATTCGATAAACAAATGTCTTCTTGATTCATAGAGATGGGGAGATTTCGATTAATAATTCCAATTCCATCCAGCTGTTGTGCAATCACTGGGAAATATCCAACAGGTGCATAAGTAGGCTCAAAGCCCAAACCAACACTATTCCACACGATCACATTTGTAAATGATGGTTGTTGTACATTATCCGGTGGTTTTTCAATCTCCTCCTGATTAGGTGCTTGAGACATCTGTGCCGCATCACTCTCTCCTGTCTTTGATTGGTCTTGCTCAGTCGAATTGAGATCTTGTTGTTGGTGTTGTTGTTGTTGATTAATCTGTTGAGGTTGGGGCACTAAAAAGCTTGTATCCACTTGATTGGCAATTAACGATCTCTTCCTAATTTCTTTCTCCTCTTCAGTTACTTCAGTTTTCGGCCTGGCAGGCTCTTGCCACGCTCCATCATTTGGCATCCTTCTATTCCTTCTCTTGTTTCGAGAATGTCGAGACCAATTCCTAAAACCCATTTCTTGTCTTCCGTAGTTAACAATCTTCAAGCCCGCTCCATCCGCTTTGCAAGATGCAACCGAGTTCGCATTGGCTTCTGATTTTATTGAACATGGAATTTCCTGCCAAACTCGTTTTTTCCTTTCTAATGACAAAAAAGTGGCGACATTGTTTATCTCATTGAAATAAATTGTGCAATTATGTGCAATAACAACTACAATGATTAACTCACTTCGTGAGTTCTGATTCTGATTTGCAGGTTCAGTTGATGAACCAGCCTGCTGTTCAGGAGTTTCCACTTCCATGTTCATCTCCGGCTGTGAGCTTTGCTCCACTTCTGGCAAACTTGGGGCAGACACTGCACAAGTACTTGACTCCATTCGGGTTTCATCAGATTTCTTAGTGTCATCCAGACACTTCTCATTTTCTTCCGCCTCGTTTTGTTGCTTCGATTTCTTATAAGCCATAACTGAAAACACTATAACCCGGAAATAATGGAGTAGTCTTACCTATTACACCAATAAAACTGAATGAATACGAATTTCTACTATGCTCTATATATATCAATCAAACTTTCCCGCAGTAATATGTCCTCAAATTAACCAATCACTGCACTCTGATTGTTAACCTCAACTTCATGTTTAACTAAGGTCATGGTTGAATCGGTTTCTAAACCAAGCATTAGATGTATCGCAGGTATCTAATCCTATGTTTGTCTTTCCGTCTTTATACCTCACTTTAATCAATTCTAGTCTCCAAATCATATCTTTAATATTCCATTTTATACTAGTTTCATTTGGAGTCCTTGCGTTGACAAAATATTATCTATTGACCTTCTAAGAATCACCGAATTTCAGGAAAAGTGTGCATAAAAACACTGTTTCTTTCAAAGAACGAATCCATTTTCTAATGGTGGTTAAAACAGACGGTGTTTAATCAAAGAGATGGCGAGTAAAATAACTTGAGCGCTATCTATGCTACAACTTTTGACGATATTTGTAGAGCTTGCATAACTTGAACTTATCCCGCAGAAGGTCAATTGTCATGATGATGGGGTTTACATGCTCGAAATCGTATGCGCAAAACGATGTGATTTTTCTTCATAACAATTAAGAAAATTGAAATGAACCAGTCTTTCCTTAGTCCGTCACATATAGTATATTATTTTTTATTCATTTGAATCAGCTTATATTGAACTAAAGAAAGCTGGACTCGATTCAAATATCTGAAAGTGAATTTTGTGTGTGTTTGAAAGCAAGATGAGGAGGAAGAATATTTTCAAGTACAGAGTACAAACAGACTCACAAGCCTTGTCTTAGATTTGATGCAGAATAATTTTCCTTCAACGCCCCAATGAATTGGTTGCATTTTTAAGCCTGTCACCCACATCAATGGATGTGAATTGGTAAGCGTAGATGTTCTGAAAGACTTTCCACTGAACCATTAGGGAATGCAAGGAAATATATTGGCTAGGCAACAATCACAACCAACAGTCTCAAGCCAGGTGCATTCTTCATATAACTTAATCGATTTTCAAAGTTTCTAATCCTCTAAAAGGAGTCTATTTAATCTGTTTTCAGTTTTAATTTTTTAAGCATTTCTCAAAGAACCTGCGTTCTGCTGCTAAATAATTCTGACGCCATAATATGACATTAGTTTGGTACTGAAAACATGTAACATCAAACAAGTTTCCAAGAGCCGAAATTCGATTGAAAGTTGTGTTTAACCACTGCATCGACCGTTCGCATCACCTTAACTGAAACCAAATTAGCGTTTAGTTTTGATTGTGTGTTGTGGTAGAAATAACATTGAATCGCGATTAGCCAGTCTGTACCTAGAATATTCCACTGCTAACAATAATATTGTTGATGAGAAGTACATTGAACTACGGGTTACACGAAATTGGGCAATCAGTTACGCGTTTGTTTCACTGCCTGTAAAGTAATGTATGAACAAGTATATACCACAAAGACATGTACAATTTTAATTGGTAGAAAGAAAGGCTGATTTGAAATAGAAAAAAGAAGCTACTTAAACACTCTGAGATGGAATTGGGGTAGTTTGAACATTGTTTTTGGAATCCTCTACTTCTTCCATTTTGGACTTGGTTTAAGGGGGTATTCTGGTCTAGAAATAAAAAAACGATTTTGTTTGCATATTACCATTGTTTAACTATTTGAAAATATGTCTACGAGAGGATTTTCCAAAATTCGAATTATTTTCGGAGATATAAGTATTTTGCTGAGCAGACATCCAAACCGGTTGGGCTGCAACTAATCGAACAAAAGACAAAAAGGGTTCTCCGAATACCTGAATCTATATTTCTTAGTAAGACCTTTTGTTCCGTTATATATACATATATATAAACACGCTGATATGGACTTTTGCTCCAAAGCATATCCATTCCGGGTCTCAGATCATTGAAAGTTGCTCTGTGTATTTTAATGAAGGCTTTATACTGATATTGAAGATGATGAGGATTATGGGAGTGAAAATTGGTTTAGAATCGCATGCATTTACGATCGGACGAGACAACGCCCTGATTGACCGCTCCGAGATACGAGCATCCAGCGCATCAAAGGAGGCCAGAACTGCTCGAATAGAAAACAGAGACGCCAAAGATTGCTTTTTTCGAAGTCGAGGAAGGTCCGATGTATGCAGCAGGAATGGCCAGTTGAATAAATGTAAGTTTAAGATATAATATTATGACTTAGACTGCAAAACATTTTACTTGAATCTTTAAACGCGTTTTTCTCAGAACTGTCTTTTTGAATCTGATACCCACGATTTCTCAGGTTCTGCAAAACCGATTTACTTGAAATTTTAAGAGACCCTTCTTAAGGAACTTCTCTATGTCCGGAACTACGGCCATCCCCAAATTTTTATTTTTACAATATTTAAAAAGTTGAA